GCTGTCCTCGGAACGTGGGGTTCCTCAGGGCCAAGAGGTGATTCCTATCACCTGGGTAGAGAGCGATGACCGTAATCGTAGTGATTCCCGTTGACTCGATAAGAAAGTGGTCAGTCACGTCTTGTGTAGAAAATTTGAATGATTTGATTGTGGAGGTGACCCATTTAATTCTGTCATTCATGGGTATTGCAGATTGGTCATCATGAAATGTGAACTGTACCGCGTGTGAGGAATACACCTTGTTCCGGATAGCCACCGCTTGAGCCGAAAATCTGTAGATCGGGCGGACGTATCCATCAATTTCCTGGTACAGCTTGTCGGGCTGCACATGCAACTTTTGAATGAAATGACTGCGAGTAGGGTGAATAGGGTTAAGGGCGAAGGGGTCGGTATGCGTTGGATGAGGGGGCGGCATCAGGAGAGAGCCGAGGGATGGCGGGCCTCTCTCTTGTGGTTCCGCGGGGGGCGGAGACGCCGTTTTTAGCACTTCGGCCCAGGAGGGATTACGGGAGGATTGCACCCTCCCCGGCGGGGGAGGGTGGTGCTGAGCCTTCTCCAACGCGGCCGTGGTCGTGGATGCCGTGGCCCTATCGGTTTTTCCGGTCCCAACGTCCCCGGTCACCGGACGCCATTCCTTGGACCCAGCACTCGGGACACCCAGTGCCGCCATGTGTCCCGTCTTCGCTGCCGCCCTTGTCCAAAGTCGGGATGCATATTGCCTGTAGAAGAGGAGCCCCTTTCCCCTGTTCCCCCCTTTTACCCATCATCCCCTGCACCACCACCTCGTCAGACCCCTCACCCTCCTTGCTCGCCTGTATGTTGGCGCTTCCCTCCTCGCAAAGATAATTGACCTTCCACAAGCCTTCCCTCAATGGCGATGTTGCGGCGGGATAGCGCTAGTGCGGCCACGCAATTTTGCCGTCGTGTGTATTCGCAACAGAATCCTTCCCTCAATGGCGGTGTTGTGGTGGGATAGCGCCAGTGCGGCCGCTTGGTTCTGTCGTCGTGTCGTTTGCTACAGTGTCAGGGGACGTGCACCGGCCCTGCCAACCGTGTATTGGTTGCAAGCGGGCACACGAGTGTGCCACCTATGCGTACCGACTGAATCCCTTAGTCATTTCCTACCTATGAGGTGGAAGCAAAGTGGGTGGGCGTATGACAACAGAATCCCTTAACGATTTCCTACCTACAAGATGAAGTAAAAATGTGTGGGCGTGTTGTCTGGGATGGACGTGCACCAGCGCTGCTAGCAGTACCTGGGCATGTCAACGATATATGGGTGCGATGAAGGCACACGGATTTTTCGCGTCGGGGGCGAATGTGGAAAAGAGGAGGGGGCGAGTCGGGGGGGGGGGACAGAGGGAATATGGGAGGGAAGGTGGGGAGGGTGTAGGAGGGCAGGGGAGATGGGGGTTGTGTGGGAGGGAGGGCGGGGAGGGTGTAGGAGGGCTGCGGAGATGGGGGTTGAGGGCGGGTGGATTCAGGACGGTATCGGCCAGCCAGCCTCACCTTTCACGGAGGGACAGGGGGCCCTCCACTTGATAATCGGCCGCTCCTGGCTGCTCCTGGCTTCCACTATTCTCCAAGCCTCCACGCTTCCGTTTCCCACCTCCGCTGTAGGCCTCCACGCCCAGCACAGCCCCTTTTGATCTGTTGCCGCTCTCACAGTTGGCGATCGCCGACCACCTTCAACCACGTGGACTCCCTGCCACCCACCTTGGATTGGCAACTGCCGGCCACGGTCAACCACGTGGACTCCCTACCACCCGCCTTTCCCCACGTTTTGGATCGCTATCACGTTGAAGTATCATCCCCGGCCAAATTACCGGGGTTCCCGACTGCTCGTCGACGCACCCTCGTTCAATCTCCTTGTCTACTATGCACTTCACGTCTCTCTCCTCCTCGTCTTCGCCTTCATTATCCACATCGTCACTAGTGTGTTTCCTTTGCAATTTCGAAACCACAACAGGAAGCGCGCCTCCCACCTGCACACGGGCACAAGGCCCTCACCGAGCCGCCCATATCCCGGATTGCCACGGTGGTGCGGGGGATGGCCCTCAGTTGACTAGACCTTCAACAGCGATGGCGGCAGATCCAACTGTGCCGGTCAACGCCAACCCTAGTTCGATCGAGGTGCGACCGGGCCCCGCCGGTCGGCTCGCCGAGCCTGCCCCCAGGCCCACACTTAGATATGCTATTGCCAGTTTCTTCTTCTTATTATTAATTATTAGACAAAAACACAGCTGTATAGTTGCACCTTCTTCCTCTTCTTCTACTCCTTGTTCTTGTTCTTGTTCTTCTTCTTCTTCTTCTTTGAATTCTTCAGTCAAAAGGTCACAGTAATGGAGGTGGTAGGAGCATCCTCCACTACTGCATTCTTTTTTTTTTTTTTTTTTTCCAAAGCCCTTGTAGCATCCCTCTATCCCGACAGTGGTACGGGAACTGCCAGGATTGAGGGCTTGTCTATAGGGCTGCTCCATCTATTGGTGGGGAGCGGCACCTGCTGGAAACCGGGTCCAGCGTCCCGTTGATACAAGACATGACTCGTCGCTTGAGACCGTTTTTTCCTGGGGTTGTGGTTACTTATCTTTACTGTCCTACATTCTTGATGTGGAGGCTCCATCCATTGTTGGGGAGCTGCGCCTGCCAGAAAACTGGGTCCAACATCCCATGTGTACAGAGTGGCCAGCATGTAACTGATTGGATCTTTTTTTTTTTTTTTTTTTAATGGGGCACCTTTCTTTTACAAGCCGGGAAATGGGTCTGGCGTCCGTTACAAAAAAAGGATGAATGGACCCCATTGAGCTTGGCATCACCGGACGGGCACTGTGACGCACGTGCAGAGGGCACGGGCGGAGATGGTGAGAGAGAGAAAGGAGATGGGCACACATAACGGCAACCCATTTTGCCGTACGGATCACGGAAGCGGCAATCGACAAGAACGAGTGGTATTGGTCCAATATTCGCGATGATGTGAAATTCATCGTCGCGAATTGCCAGGTCTGCACTGCTGACAAGGCGTCGATCCAGCCGCCAAGATCGATAGTACCGACGGTAGTTGAAAAGTCGTTTCGGAGGGTTAGCATGGATACTACGGATGTTGTGGTCCCCCCTGGACCGAACAGCTGCGAGTATTCAATCCTACTACTATTCGTAGACCATTTTTCGAAATGGATTGAGGCATACCCGTGTCGTACACGACAAGCGGCTGAAATCGCGCGATATGTCAACCGGTTCTTAGGGATGCATCAGGACACAGGGGAAATCCTAACCGACAACGGGGTAGAATTCAGAGGGGAAGTTTTAAGGAATCTGGTCGTACATGGCGTCGCCATTCGGAATACTGCACCCCACATGTCGCAATCTAATGGCCTAGCAGAAAACGCAAATCGGGTGATAAAGACAGCGTTGCGACGAAACATCGCGGCACGGGATCCGAGGCCCTGGCCTGATATCGTAGATCACATCCTGGCGGTCCATCGGGGAACGCCTCACGAATCGACGGGCCTTAGCCCCTTTCAATTACGAACCAATAGCGTAGCTTGTGTCTCAATACCGAGCCTCCCCGATGAATCTTCATTGAACCGACGGTCCACAAGAGCCACAGTTTTGGACAAGGCCAAGCGGCACATGGAGCTGATGGAACGGTCCCTTCCCCGATTAGCCCGAAAGTGCCAGAAAATGACCGAGTTGGACCACGGCCGACTGGTCCGTAGCTATGAGGCCCGAAATGGGAACGCAGGACCACGGCCCCAGTATAAATTAGGGGACCTCGTGCCGGAGGTCTCGGGAAGCCGATCGGCTCGACCGATCGTCCGCCATGTGTCCTATCTACGCCTTCTCCCTTCCTCTCCATCTCCAGTCGTGTTTGCTTCCTCCTTCGCTACAGAAGAGGACGACGATTCCTTATCGCTCTCATCCCCTCCTGCTTCTCTTGCTCCGTCCTCATCGCCATCGCCATGAGTTTTTTCACTGAGCGGCCTCTCGGCGATCACATGCTGGCGCCATGTGGCGACATTTTGACAATTCGGCAAGTTCATCACCCGCGATTCAGTCCAGACCTTCTACGGCTTGCACAGTTCTTCAGCACTACCGGGGTGTACGAGGCGGCGGAGTTCCGATCCACGGGCCATCGCCAAGCGATCGTGTTGGCAGAAGCGACGGTGGTTCGACGATTGTCAGCACCAGGAGTTAGCCACGAGTCTACCATCGTCATCTTGAGCGGTGACATTAGCGCGATCAGCCCTCTACGACACACGGCCATCCGGACGTCGCTGAGGGAGTGGGGCCAGCAGCTAGCAGCAGAGTGGAATCAGTGGCTTACGAGTCGCGGCGATAATCTTGACCCCACGGACGACATCGACGTCGGAGGGCTCTGAACGTCTCAGCACGAGCCGACAATGGTGCTTCCGGAGCTCGTTATCTTCCAGCCTCCTCAATGAACCGCTCCCAGCCCTTTACTTTCTCTCTCCCATCTCTCTTCCCTACCTTCTGGCAGTCTGAACTTTGCCCCCATTTCTCCTTTCGTCTGGAGTCCCTCGCTGTTCCCCTTCTCGATCGAAGACAGTGGGAACGGTGGTGCGAGCACTTCGTCGATCTTTCGGTGTGTCTGGTCGGAGTGCAACTGACGTGGACGAGGGACATAGAGCACCGCGCCTGGATTGAATACGCGGAACTGTTGATCATCCAAGCTTGGAGGACGGAGGTGGAAGGAGACCTCCTCGGATTTCTATTCGGATCGGTGCGGCCCGGCCATCGACAGCAGATCGTACAGGAGCTCACGATTCCCCTCGCGCAGCTGGCCGACGATCTCCCTCTCGATATCGTTTCGCAGTGTGACGAAAGCCCGGTCCCGCACGTCCTTTCACGAACTCTGACGCCTTACCTACAGTGGCCGGCCTGCCTCGAGGAGCCGGGAAGTAATAACAACCCGCCATCACAACAACAATACCTGGACCCACGGGGGATAATCGACCTCGCCCTCTTTCGGCCTCGAACAGCCTCCGAAGTCGAAGTGATAACGCTAGAGGAGGAGGAAGAAGAGGAAACCTCGGACGAAGCAGGGAGCTACAACGAATATAGCGAGGAAGAGTCGGGAGGTGAAGAAGAAGAAGAGGACCAGGAGGAAGAAGAGGAGGAATCTGAGTCGGAGGCTTTCAGCGAAGAGGTGGATCGCGCAGAGACGCAAGAAGAGGATCCCGAGGCGGCGTGCAGGAGAGAAGAGAGAGCAACCGGGAAGCAGCCGCTAGAGTTCGCAAGCGGAGTGGATCTGTCGATCCCGAACGACCCAGCCAAGGACCCCGAGCCACCCAAGAACGACGATGGGGACCTTGTTGCCGAGACTTCGAGCGCACCGGCCAGACGGCGACCTTCCACCTCCGGCCATCCACCAGTTCGAGCTCGTACAGATGCGGGGCATCGGGCTTCATCCCCGGTCCTTATCCTGTCGTCCCCTTGACCACCTCACCCTCCGCCAGATCACTACCTGCATCACCTTTCCCTGCAATCCCTTCCCAATCGACACTTTCCATTTTTTCAACTTGCTGTCACGGTTCATCCCCATCCCTCTACCCAGTGTGCCACCCCTGCCTTCTGTCTCCCCGCCCTTCTCTTCAGTGCCGCGTGGCGAGGCCACAACATCATTGAGGTTTACTGCATGATCACGGGGACTATCCCCGGATACGAAAACCAGGATCACTTCTGCACGACACTCTTTCAAACTTTCACCACCCTTTACCTCGACTATCTCGCCTCCCTTCCTCATAGTGGTAATCGATTCCCTCGCTTCCACCGGGTTATCCTATAGCAAGAGCTTCCGGTGACAGTCGCGGGGTTGGAACGCTTTCTACCCCCACTCCCGACTAGCCTACCCCCTCGCCCCCTGTATCGTCTTCCCTTTCCACTTCCCTTAGGTCATTGATGCACGATTGATTGGCACGTGCCACGATGATGGCACGCACGATCCCCTCCTCGGACTGAAGGGAGCCCATCCTGAGAAAATTGTAGGATAAAGCCACGTGTGCCACCCTAGATGACGTCCACACTCTTATCAAACGGTAAGTGGCAACAAAAAAGGCTCTGCGTATCGATCGATTAGAGAGATTGACACGTGTCATGATTCAGGGCGTCACATATGTGACGGACCAATTTCTGTTCCGTGCGATTTTCTGCGTGATGATAATGAGGGGTTCTGAGATGGGAAGGATGGGCCAACTACGGGAGATTGGGATCGGAGGGAAATTACATCGGTGTCCTCGCTTCTTCATCTTTTCTTTTTCGTCGCTTCTTTTCGAATGGCTGGGTTCAGGGCCGGACAATAGCCGATTGAGTGGATGTCGCGCCGACAAAGGCAAGAATAATAATGTTTGATGTTGCTTCTTTCTTGTTCTGTTGTCGGGTTTTAGGCGCGGAGGTCGCGCGGGATTTTGTTTCGTTCTTTTTGATTTTTTTTTTCGAATCTTGTCGAGCCCTTGACAACTTTCGGAATTTCGGACTTTCTTATCCAGAATTTGTGCTTTTTGCATTAGATAGGAATTTTGGAATTTTGGAATTTAGGATTTCCTTTGCCGCGCAATGCCTTCTGCTTGCGCGCTTCTTTTTGCGGCTGCAACGGAGCTTCGATTATCCGATTAGTCGGCGCCCTTAATCTTGCAAGTAACTGTAATTTTTGGTGGGCGTCATTGTAACTGTATCTTTCTTCTTGGGCTTCGTTTTTCCCGCTCTCTCTTTCCCTTTTGTTGTGCCTAGCCAGCCTGCGGCCTACATGCTCGGATCGACGCGTGGAGAGTGGCTACGTCCCCCACGTCGNTTTCCCGCTCTCTCTTTCCCTTTTGTTGTGCCTAGCCAGCCTGCGGCCTACATGCTCGGATCGACGCGTGGAGAGTGGCTACGTCCCCCACGTCGTGGCCTGGCCATGCAGAACGTAGGCGCTCCCTCTCCTAATCTCYCTTCTAAGTCCTTGCAATTYCGTGTTCTTCGCKCATRCRTGCACGCTATAAATTCCRGCTGMGCGATTAGATAGCTCTCTTAACCAGTGGTYRGAAGCTCGGGGTAGCGCGATCARTGAGGGTYGGSTCACAAGCGAAGTAAGAGGTGAGTTGAAGTGGGAGTCGGGCGACCCGACGARCTGGTGCCGAATGCRCGGGGTTGACGCGTGGGGCTACRRCGGACTRTARCGCGCGGGCGAACCTGACGGGTGYAGGAGGACTAAGCRGGGTGACGACTTCGTGGGTTGGTGCRTGACGACGGRCTRTCCGCATYRRAGAKAGAGAGAGAAAGAGAGAGCTGAGGTTGATGGACGTGGATTTRCCATTTTCTTTGTCTTGYCTCYCTCTTTACTTTTGTATATAAATTTTGATCTCGKCTCAKGGYGACTCGCCCGTTTTYTTTTGTTTTCGGAATCCTTGTCTCGGTTTCAGCCCACATTTGTTCTGCGATTGATCTTGATCTCAGCTATTGTGTGTTTTGCCGAATGAATGGATGAATGAATGACATGTTTGTCGTTTCTCCTGTCTGGCCATCATCATTGTTTGCCATTTTGATACGYTRTYAGCARAATATGAGTTATGATATTGTTGCGATGTCTGATGTRTAACGACACCTTGCATGSTCGGGAGTGATTTCTCACGGATCACTGAGTGATTAGATGATTGGGTAAGTTGTCCATGACACGTGRCAATTTTGCAWAAGGAATTAGACTCCCATTTTTCCARAAACAAGTGAATACCTCGCGGGGATAYGTGTAAGCGCGAKCTGATCTGCGCARCCTACACGTATCCAYGCGCKSCGATTCGCGACCATTGASGAATCGGACACCTCTGGTATCGGATAGGCKGGAAYTTTCCTTCCTTCACGCACCTAAACGGATAKGAATTTYYGACATCRCATCGAGAAATCCCCCTGSCAGTTAGATGCATGTGAAAGGCTTCCACTATGCMGCGATGACAAGATGYCGGACTCATGRGACTCARAGTACTTCGAACCTTGGGTAAGAGAARAACTCAGGCAGAGACGTYCGRAATTTYCCTGCCTAACCGAGAACCGATTGTGCCCCAGGGAGTTTCGYTGTGCCGTAACMAGYGACCCRAGGTGCCCTGATYA